CATGTGGAGACTGTTTTATTTTAAATTAGTGGTTATTTTAATTTACTTTCATGGACTATTTTTGTTAATTTTAATGGGCTGTTTTAGTGTAATTTCAAAGTATATTTTGGTGAGTTTAAATTAAGTGTATTAAACATAATTAGTGGGCTGTTTTGTGTTAAAATAATGGGTTATTTTATTTTAAGTTCAAAATATATTTTATTAAAGGTGTTACATAAAATTTAGGAGCTGTTAAGAAGGCGTATTAAATAAGTACTCAATCGAGTGTACGAAAAGTGTAGAAATGATCATTTGAGATATTCGGGAAGTATTTTGTGGGCTAGGTTGAAAACGAAAATTTTGGCAATGAAATGGGTGGTTTAAAGGTTCAATTAGGGGTTGTTTTACATTGATTAAATGTGTATGTGAATTTAAATGTAGTAATTTTAAAAGAAAAAGTACGATAGAAATTGGAAATGAGTGCTGATATTATCGAAACCCTGATTTCTAAATATTATTGTTACATATGTGAATTTTAATTCAAATGACCTAAAATTTTGCATGCTACATTTTTAATTGATACTTGATGTGATGATGTAAATTTCGAACGCAAATGAAAATAATATCCGGTGTGAAATGTATGAAATGTTAGAAGTACAGTTTTTAGGATTTTGGGTCGAAATGTGTAAAAATGGGCCCTCGGTCAATGTGGCTGACCTACTTAATCCTAATTGTGATTAATGTGAATGATTTTAAAGATTTAGGGAGAAAATATGGCCCCTAAACCTAATGTGCCAGTACATGAGTGGATAGTATGAAAACCGGAGTTACCGGGGCACTTTGGGTGCATCATTTTGCATGCATTAGTGTATGATTAACTATTAAATATGATAAACATATTGATATTATAATTATCAATGTGTTAGGTACAACGGGTGAGACAGTCGGTATTCAAACTAATACAATAACACTAGATGGACCCACTAATAGAACCGAAGGGCCAAAGATCGATATATTTGAGGTGGGTGTATATCTTTATGTGTTTTGAAAATGCTATTATAACATGTTATTAAATGACATAATTTTATAGCATTTCTCCAAGATTATGTGTTATGTGCTTATATGATTGAATGATACTTTGTATTGTGTATTGTATATTGTGAAAATGTGGCGCACTGTTTGAGACAGGAGCCTCGATGCCTAATCACTGGGCGTGCAGTGGTGTGCTAGCAATATAATGTTCCCAGGAGGTTCAGGAGACACAGATCCATGTGGGATCGATTACTCAATGAGGGGTAGTATGAATGTATTGTGGCTTGTGAATGCTTTGGAATTGGATGGATATTGTTGTTTGATACGTGTATTTACGTAGTATTTATCAACTTTTGTGTATTACTATCATTTTCATTTCATATACGGCATGTATACTCACTCAGCGCGTGGTTTAGCTCACACCTCTATAGTTTCTCCTTTACAAGTACAAGAGAGGGAGACACAGATCAGTCTACTGTCAAAAGGGTTTAGTTTTGTACAACGTTAGTATAATATTCTGTTCGTTATGTATTTAGTTTTAAATGAGTAAATGATATTGGTTAAGGGACTGTATAATTATTTGTTGGGTTGTATACTATGTTAAATGAGAGATTATTATAGCAGATTAATAGTATATGTATTTGTAAACAGACTTAACAGACATACTTTGTGATGTATGATGTGTGGGTGTGAAATTTTGTATCTGTCTATAACCTCAGAAACAAACGATTAGTACAAGTGTTTTATATATGATACAGGTTATAAGACAAGTTTTACCATCACACTTAACGACTAAGGTGATGGGTGGTGTTGTTGCACCTATGAGATTGTTTGGTGTTTTATTAATTTAGATTATATATACGTAAACAGGCGTATCAAAAACCTAATCACGTCTTATCCTTAAAACACTAAGATGGGGTGTGACACTTCATCTTAGTCGAAAACTTGTCGCCGAATAAAAACCCTTCAATCAACAAAAAGATGTACGATGGTATTTAAACCATGTTACCAAGCCATGCCTTTTTCTTCCAATTGTTGTACTTTTTGCACTTATCAACGAAATATTCCCTTGGCTGCTCCAAGCTATTGTCACTTAATAAATTTACACATATTTAAACTACCAAATTCTTCATGACTCTCACTTCATCAGAAATAAGTCACTATGACATAAGGACCAGGTCCTTAAAAACACTGGTTATAAGAACACCTTTGGCATGGGATCCCCAAGCACAGTCACCCAAGGCACAATGAAAGGAAAAAAGGAAAACGAAGAGGATGTTCACTAAGCCACTCCACTTGCGAGGTCTGCGATATCTTATAGCATATATGACAACTGAAGATGTCTTACATTGAACAACAAAATTCATTAGTAGATGTTGAACTAATTAGTAGCTAGTTGTAAATTCATTGCTAGCACACAAAATTCATTAGCCAGTTGTAAATTTTAAGAATGTGCCCTAGCCAGTAGTGAGTAAATTAAAAACTATTGTCTTCCATTCATTAAGCTCAAAAACAAAAGACCAAAGCAGCATCATGTTCATAATGTATATCATAAATACAATCAATATGAGCATGGCCGAAAAGAGGCTTAAAGTACCTAAGTCAGAGGAGAGGGACACTAGGATAGAACTCGTCAGAGGAGAGGGAGTTGTGGACAGAAACGATGATGGCCAGAACTCGTCGAAGGAGGGGAACACTACTATGGTCTTCGTTTTTTCGAAATCTTTCGCCGGGATGCTATTCGTCGAGGAGTGAAGGAATGGCTTCGTTGGAGGAACACTGCTATGTCTTGGTTTTTGCGAACTTCCCTGGGATGCTATTCGTTGAGGAGTGGCTTCGTCGGAGGACTGGAGAGGGTCAGAGAGGTTGATTTTTGATTTCGAATTTGAGAGAGAGAGAGAGAGTTAGGGCTTTTGTGAATTTGGGAAAGGATAAATTTGATTTTAATTCACATAAATTGTCATTTTAAATAACGTCGTTAAAATCGTCATTTTAAATGATGACTTTAAAATCGTCATTTTAAATGACGACTTTAGAATCGTGATTCTAAATGACGTTTTATAGTTACAGTACATGTTGGAGTATAGATAGTCTAGGTTTATTAGGATTTCTCTTTCCTAGGTTTATTAGGATTTCTTTTCCCTTTAGGATTTCTTTTCCCTTTTTTACCCTTACTATGATTTTTATATTTTGCCTATATATACGGGGTTTTACTCTTAATTTGAGTATCTCCTTTTACTCACAATTATTTCAAGTTGGTATCAGAGCAAGGTTAGGGTTTGGGGTAGGGTTAGTGTATGGCTCTACCAGCCATACCGCCGAAACCACCCTGGCCATCAGTTGCCCAGTGAAACCGACCAAACCAGCGACAAAACCAGTCCACCGACTGCCCATCCTTATACCAGTCCACCACAACCTTAATCCAGTGGTTAGGGTTTCTCTTTCTTCAGCAAACAACCTAAAAGTGAATAGGAGAGGTTAAAGTGACGGCGTCGTCGCTGTCCGCCTTGATCAAGCCGTCGCTTCGTCTTGGCCCTCGTTTTTGCCCAATCTCTTCCGTTCAATTTTGGGCCTTAGTCTTGTACCTCAAACACCATGGCTCTCCGATTAGGTCTCCTCTTTGTTTTCTCTCTCCTTCTCGCGACGTCGTTCGTGTTCGCCGACGACGAGGTGAACACCACCGAAGATCTCTTAATCCGGCAAGTAGTCGGCGACGATCATCTATTGAACGCCGATCATCATTTTTCGATCTTCAAGAGGAGGTTTGGCAAAAGCTATGCTACAAAGGAGGAGCACGATTACAGGTTTTCGGTCTTCAATGCTAACCTGCGCCGCGCGAAGCGCCTCCAGAAGCTTGATCCATCGGCGGTCCACGGGGTGACTCAGTTCTCCGATCTAACTCCGGCTGAGTTTCGCCGGAATTTCCTCGGATTGAAGCGTAAGCTGAAGATTCCGAAGGATGCGAACCAGGCTCCGATCCTTCCGACGAGTGATCTTCCCGAGGATTTCGATTGGAGAGACCATGGTGCCGTCACGCCCGTAAAGAATCAGGTCTCACTATTAATTTATGTGTATAATGGACTTGCTTGTTATTTATTCTGATAATATGGGGATTAAGGGTTCTGAGGGGTTGACTTTGGATATATGTGTTTAATTTAGTTGATTGATTGGCAAATTAGGGTTCGTGTGGGTCGTGCTGGTCGTTTAGTACGACAGGGGCATTGGAAGGTGCGAATTATCTCGCTACAGGGAAGCTGGTTAGCCTTAGCGAGCAACAGCTAGTGGATTGTGACCACGAGTGTGATCCAGAGGAAGCAGGTGCTTGTGACTCGAGGTGCAATGGTGGGCTGATGAATAGTGCCTTTGAGTACACTCTTAAAGCTGGTGGACTCATGCGAGAAGAAGATTATGTTTACACCGGTACTGATGGTGGAACCTGCAAATTTGACAAGACCAAGATCGCTGCCAAAGTGGCTAACTTCAGTGTTGTCTCCCTTAATGAAGACCAAATTGCTGCAAATCTTGTGAAAAATGGTCCGCTTGCAGGTATGCAGTTCTCTCTCTGCTTCTCAAACCCACCCCCTGTTGCTTTTGTTATTTTAATTGAAGGAATTTCTTGAGTTTATCCAAGCATTCCAGGAAAAAAAAAATAGTAATATGTTCTTGGAGAATAGCTCTCAACTATGCAGAATGTGCTTAATAGAATTTACATTATGAAAATCATGCCGTCTTTTTTGCATGTTTACAGTTTTGATAGTCGAAAATTCCACCCCTCCCCCTCCCTCCAACCCCCAAAAAAGAGCAAAAAAAAAAAGTCTAGTTCCTTTCCTTATATTTCTTTCTTTTTCTTAATTCTTATTGAAAAATGCATTATTTTTTTGACAAAATCGTGTTTGTGTAACATCTATTGTCTTTACTGGAATCGTAATTTACAGTGGTGTTTGTTCAATAGTAATCTTTATGTTATGTTTCTTTTCTTGTGGATGCAGTGGCGATCAATGCAGTTTTCATGCAGACATATGTCGGGGGAGTTTCATGCCCATACATATGCTCGAAGAGGTTGGACCATGGTGTGTTATTGGTCGGGTACGGTTCAGCTGGCTATTCTCCTATTAGAATGAAGGAGAAGCCATATTGGATCATAAAGAACTCTTGGGGAGAAAACTGGGGTGAGAATGGATTCTACAAAATCTGTAGGGGTCGTAATATCTGTGGCGTGGACTCTATGGTCTCCACCGTTGCTGCTGTTACCACCTCACATTAGCCATATGAATGATGATATATGTGCATCAATTTATGTATTTCTATGTATATATAAGGAAGAAGCAACTTTCTCTAAATTAGTTATAGCATTCCTCCCAAGTATTCCCAAGATCAAGAAACATATTAATTAACGTTGTAATCTGCATCTATTGCCAAGTTCCTTCCTTTATCTTTGTTGTCGTGGTATAAGATTGTCTTCGCCTTTGATGCTATGAATAATTATCAATCTTCTTTAGCTGTGTAAATCTCCGATCTGTCAGTTTACATATCTTATATTTTAGACATACTATAATAGTACTGATTATATGATTTTGAGGGGGTGGTGGGGTGATTTTGTGAGATGTGCGAATTTTACAAATATCTTCTTCATTTCAAGTTTTACTCCCACCTAAGCATCGCCGAAAAATGTTCCATTATTGTGCTGAATTTGTGTGTATGAAAAAAAAAAATTAACCGAGAATTAGCAAAAGTAGAAGTGTTCAATTGATTTTAAATTTAGAGTAAATAAAAAAGTGATGGGATTGTGAGTACGCATTTAGGCCACATTGAGACAATGGAATTAGAAGAAACCCAAGCCTTTTCTTTTAAACAATTTAAAAATGTGAGAAATAAGGAAACGGGGAGAGTTTCCCATTCTCTTTCGCTCTAATCTAATTGCTATGATCTAAATAAAGATTCTAAATGCTCACAAATGAAGAAGGTATCACTAGTTATGGAAGTGAGATAAGGTTCAACTAATTCTGTCATAATTACAGCATTATATATGGTGAATTACTCGAGGCATACAGTAAGACTAATTTTAACAAAGCATAAATAGGCTGTGTGCGTTGGGACGATCAAAAAGAGGGCGGCACCAACATGTATTGCTACTCAATAATGAAACACATTCTAGATGAACCTTCCCATAATACAATAACTATCACAT